CTTAAAACCAATGTAAAACCTTGAGAGTGTCAGGAAATAAGAGTACTCTCAAGCAAAGCCTGCGAGAGTGTAAATTGTTGCCATGTGACTGGAGGACAACGTGGCAATGTCTATCAGATTTTTTAAAGCACCTATCCAGTGACACTCCCAGGAATCTGTCCTGAAGATATACTCCTCCACATGTGAAATGACATACACGTCAAGTTATTTTTTACAGCATTATGTATAACAGCAAAAGACTGGAAATAGCCTCTATCTGTAACAGCCCAGACTGGTTTCACAAATTATGGCACATATAATAAATCAGCGTGCATCTTTTAAATTATCTCTTCAAAAAACATGAGAGTTCTTTGGAAACTGATATGAAAGATGACCATGTCATATTTTACATAAAAAAAAAATCAAGGTGCAGAATAATGTGTATAGCACACACACACATATATGAAAGCTACACAAGAATGTGGTTGAGTAGCTGGAGCTAAAGAGAAGTGAGACTTTTTTTTCCTTACTGTGTACTCCTTTTTGCACCTTATGAATTTTGTACCATAGACATATATAATGAATTCAAAAAAGTTTTTTGTTAAGTATTGATTGACTTCAGCTGTAATGAAGTCTTCACATCTCCATGCTTTCATTACTAAAACCTAATTACAGTGGAGTTATGTAGCACACCTGGGAATAAGGGTCTGCAGTCAGTACATAAGGTGAAAACAGCATATAGTAAAAATCTGCCTTAAAAATCTCTTAAATATATGCCACACTGGACCAACACACCATCTCAATAATTCCTACACAGCTAATTTTCATACCAGCACTTGAACAGTTTGCTGTTTCTTCAACTGACTAGTAGATTAAACAGCTGGCTTGTACTTCAGCCTCATGTTGTGATGTTAAAAATGTTTCTTTAAAATACCATAATCACACTCATCACAGCTAGATGAGAAGCATTCAGGAATTGAGACAGGCTGAGAGAAGAGCAAATTTCCATTCCCCATTTCACGTTTGGTCCAGAATGTTCACTGTTTAGGTTAGTTTTCCCTTGCTTTTGTCACCAGATGTAAAGAAATGAATTTGATAAATGTATGAAAGATGTGTAGTGACAACATGGTGCTTTCTAAAATACATTTCAAAAACAGTACCTCTATTAATTAAACAAACCCCTACAGTGGAAAAAAATATCACAATCCAAATATAATGGACTAAATTGCTGATTGGGAACAGGCTGTAACAATCCCCAGATCAATGTGAGAAGGACAGAGGAGTAACACCTCTTGAGAGACATCACATATGATCTCATAATCTGAGCTGTAGCCCATTCCTTTATATTAGCATTTCCATACAGATATATAGATTCTTCAATCTTTACTCCGAGTTATCTTCTAACTCCAATAAGTAAAGTTAGCTATCACTGAAGCTAAATAAAAACTCCCAAATCTTTCTATCCCTGCTCTCTCTGGTGAGCGCCAGATCAGTATTCCTACTAGATACTTCTCCTTTTAGAGGATTCACCCATAGGCTACTCAAATTCACTACAAACTGAACTCATTCTTTCTCCTCCCTCCACTCCCCCCAGTCTGTTCTTCTAGTATTCCCTATCTTGGAAGAGAGAACAACCAACCATTCTGGCGCCCAAGGCAAAAATCTAAAATTATACTATATTCCATCCATCTCTTTCTCCTATAACCAATCCCCAAGTTTGGTAGGTCCTGCCACCTACATCTCTTTTAAGCCCACCCCATCCCCACCATGCCCACTGTCAATGCTTTGGTTTGCCTTCATCATTGCACACTTGAGCAAACTGGTCTCCCTGCCTTGAGTCTCTTCAATCCATCTTACAGACACCTGAAAAGTTAACTTCCTAAAATGCAAATTTGGTTACATCACTCTTTCTATTTTAAGAACAGAAGGATCAAGAACAAGTCCCAAAGTAATGATATAGTAAGCTAAACACAAGCTCATTTAATAACATGACATAATGCAAAGAGAATGTACTACCAGGCATATTTTTTATGAGTATATTCCTATTCTACCCCACACTATATGACCAAATTAAATAAGCTATTAAGTGTGTTTCAGTAGAAAGAGGCCTTAGGGAAGCAAGGAAAATTCAACTGCCTTCTTAAAGAGAGTCAAAAATGAACACAAAATGGATCCTAACAGTGATAAAGGTGCCTTAAGGAAAACAAGGAGTTTCCCAGACCTAAAAAACAAGAGTGCGTTCAAGCTGAATGTAAATATTAACATGCTTAAAATGAATGCCGTAATCAGAAAAGGATTGGGGAAGTAAAAACAAGCAGAGAAGCTGAAGGAAGACAGAAAAACCATCCATCCCTAAAGTAAAAGCTGAATGAGGATGTCTCAGTCCCAGGCCAGCAAATGTCACTTCCCTGGTCAAGTCCATGCTAACGAAACCACGTGACTATGATCTGACCTGGTAGGTAAAGTCTACCCACTGGACAAGAATATTTCGGTCATTTGGCTTGAGTCTTCAGTTCCCTCTAAATATCTCTTCTCATTTGAAAAACTTAAACTGGCATGTTAAGTAGGATCTAGTACGGAAGTCTACCTATCAGAAAAGTTTATATTAATCATGCCAACAAGCACATATCATTATAAATTAATAAACTGGAATTCTGGCTTTACGCATCAGTCTTGCACAGCTGGTTAATGAATTTAAGTCTAACCGTGGGATAAGGTGCTGGCTTTCAGCATGCTGACAAGATCAGATTTCTAAGGGTGTTAAATCCAAGACCAGACCTAGGATGAAGGTAAATTCTATAACTGTATTTGTGGCTATTAAAATTAATTAAAATTTAAAATTCAGTTCTTCAGTTAACAGAGCCACATTTCAAAATAGCCACAAGTGGCTAGTGGCTACCATATTGAACAGCACAGATAATGAACATTTCCATTATCCAGAAAGTTCTAACTGGACAGCACTGTTCTGGAAGACAACCTTAAACTAACCCTACTGTGAGTCCTCTCGGGAAACAGGCTGAGATAGTCTTGGATGGCTAACACAGAATCTGAGATCTAGACTATTCTCTACAGAAGGTACGAAATAGATACTCAGCAACCATTGTTTCCTTTCCCTTTGCAATGATTTTTTGAAATCAGAATACAGTTTTAGTCTTCAGGATTTCTGCCCCTCTTTTTATCACTGGATGGTATTTTAAACTTGAGGCACAGACATTAGAAGCACATTCTCTGAAACGAAACTGCCTAGATTCATGTCTCATCTTTGTCTCTTACTAGATGTGTGACCTTGAACATGTTCCTTAACTACTCTATCCTTCAGTTTCCTCATAACTAAAGTGGAAATAAGGGTACCTACATCATTGGGTCACTATGAAAATGAGTTTATACATGTAGAGTGTTCAGAATTGTGCTCAATACAGAGTAACTGCCCATTAAGTGTAAACTACTACTACTTTTCCTACTACCACCACCCTGAGAGCTCTTCACGTGACAAGCGTGAAAAATGCTCAACTAGAAGAAATACTAACAAATATAAAAAGTAAAACATGGATCACAAAGCCAGAGTGTCAGCCTATGATAAAAAGGTTTTTTTTTTTTTTTTAAGGGTAAAGGCAATGGGTAATCTGGAGTGATTAAATACCAGAAAAAGTCATGGGTTGCCTGACAATGTCTTACTTGTAAGGCTGATAAACCAGAGATCAAAAGAAGTCTACATAGGGACTTCCCTGGTGGTCCAGTGGTTAAGACTCCATGCTCCCAAGCAGGGGGCCCAAGTTCCATCCCTGGACAGGGAACTAGATCCCACATGCTGCAACTAGAAGAGCCCACATGCCGCAACTAGAAGAGCCCACATGCCGCAACTAAAGAGCCTGCATACTGCAATGAAGATCACGCGTGCCGCAACTAAGACCCGGCGCAGCCAAATAAATAAATAAATAAATATTTTAAAAAAAACATGCTAAGAATGTCACTGTTAAAAAAAAAAAGAAGTCTACATAATAAGCTACTGAGCTATTTAAATAACCAATAAAAAGTAAGGAGGAACTGAGAAGATACAGGTTTGAGTTCACTAGACCAAATGATACTTCCCTATATAAAACATATTTTGACATGCAAATGTATAGCCTCTCTTATACTTCCTAAGTTACCTTTAGGTTCACTTGGTGACTGACTAAAGATCTTCTAATCTTTTCATTAAGAAGACAGAGCACCAGATACAATTAAGATACCATGCTAAACAACGATCCATCATGTGTTCTCCAAGTGAAAACCCACTGTAGAAAACCGCATCTTACTCTAACAGTATATAGACAATATGAAAATCCTGAAGTTGAAGTACAAACTTCAGCAAATGTAGTCAGATGGAAAGAGCCAGAGCTCTGGAGACACACAGGCTCAAGCTTAAGCTTGGCCTTGCCATGTACTAGCTGTATGACCCTGGGCAAATTGTACTTAATGCTCATGAGCTTCATTTTACAATCTGTAATATACACGTAAAGCAGGTGCCAACTAAGTAAGAAATATATGTAAAGAGCTTACAATAGTGCCTGGCACTTAGTAGATGCCCAGTAAACAGCAGCTACAGTAAGTAAATCGTCCTGAGAAGATCCTCCAGGAGTCCTAAGAATAAAAGACCACTACTTTACATGGTAAATACAAAAATTATTCTGACCAGGTAATAACTATAAATCATGAGATAATGCCACAAAATTGTCATTTGCTTTCCATAGTTTATAACCTATTCCTCAAACAAATGTCCCTTGTTTACTGTACTGTATTCCCTGTTAGGCTATGACTACAAAACTTTTGGGCCTATTTAATAAAAATAACTGCATTTCTTACACTGAAACAAAGTTTTTACTAGCAAATACCTTCACTAAACCACACCCAAACATGAACACTATGAATAAATGTCTAACATTTCTTCTTTCTCTATTATAATGGAAAAAAGTAAAGAAATTTTAAGTTTCTCTCAGTGAGCTGAGTTCTACATAACAAAACAATACAGGGTAATTGCTTACCTGGACAATATTTTGTACTTCAGATCCACCAATCCAGAATGAATGGGGGTATTCCCTTTCAGACTAGTCTGAGAAAAGACAGCAGTCAAGCAGCTTCCAAGATTCTTTCCGCTTACTGTATCCAGCTTTCTTCAACAAAATCCCAAACATGCACTTCGGTAACTGTTGAAAGACAGAAAGCAATCCATACACCCACCATGGCACCAGCGGCAAAGGACAGCCACCAAGAAATGGAAGGGTCAATGGAGTGGTGGATCTGAAGCACAGAAAGAGTTACAACCCTTGAGTCAGCTATTTGGTATAAAAGGTCTGTAGTAGCACTGCTCATCTCTGTGTTGAGAGAAGGATAAGAAATTCTACATAACAAAGAAGGAAACATCCCTAATACTATTATTTGTTCATGATAAATATCATGCAATTTCCAAATGCATGATAAAAATTTCTTCTATTATGCACATAAATTGTCCCAGATCATTCAGCTGCAATGAATTTTATCCATTTTCTAAGACAGCTCCTCTACTACTACAGAAACTTTGTCAGCCAAAGTTAATATAGGAGGGCTCAAATGTCTCCCAATCAAAATATGTATTTAAGCACCTAACAAGAAATCTTTTGGTTTGCCACATATAAGAAATCAAATCCTCACATCTCTCAAATCTTCCACCCTCAGCTGAAATACAGGACATTTTAAGACATGTGACATAACTTCAAGAGTAAACTTCTGACTCAATAAAGGCCAATCCCCCACAATGGCCAGTCACTGGGTAAATTAGGGAAAATAATAAAGAACACTAGTAAACAATTTACTAGATAACACCTTTAAATACATAAGCCCACTCCACATTATATCAACATTCTTTTATTACCATACCAACTCTTCCATTAGACTGTAAACTCTAAACAAACTACGAGGGAGAGAGAAAAAGACATTCAACAGGATGACATAGATAAAAACTTAAAAATCCAAAGACTGTGAAGCTGCTTGCACATAAATTTGCTTCTTCCTCAACTGTCACACTACTGCCAAAATGTTCCGGCAGTAATTATAATACCTACCTTCATTGAAGGGTTACTAATGGGCCAGGCCTTTCACATTCATTACTCATATTTAATTCTCAAAAAATATGAGAAGAAATAACTTGCCCACAGTCCCACATCTACTAGGTGGTAGAGCCCATGCCCTTTTCACAGAATACTGTGGCCTCCCAAGTCCACAGTCCATGGATCAGAAAGACCATGATTCCTGGGGCAGAAGAAACCAAGCTTTAAGCTAACTGACGTCAGAAGGGAGAACCACAAAAATACAGAAGAGTTAAGTATTTCAGCCTAGCTGAACTAAAATACAACTGAACTTGTTAAGCCATCCTGAAAGGGCTGACTCCCCTGATGTAGCCACTTAAAAGCATTTCAGTAACAAAAAGCCATGCAATTCTAAGGCCCACAATATTAATTTTATAACAAAACACATTATAACGTTGCCCAAGCAGACTTTGTGTTTAGCAGCAAAGATGTGTCTGTGACAAAGAATCCCAAACCCAGTTGAAACCAAGGAATTTTTAAATTCCAAGATCAATAAATAGTCCACAGGCAAAGACTAAAGATGTTCTGATTTTTCATGTTACAGGCAAAGCAACTGAGGTGACTGACTGAAGTACAAGTCTAAGATTAACCTCTTCATAACAAACGGGTGGAAATATCTTAATACCCTCAACTTAAAGGCATTATTTGAGTAAAATCACAAGCAAAGAATAATTGCTCAAGCTCTTCTCATTACTCTAGAGCCTAAGAATAAACTAAAAACCCAATTTTGACAAAAGCTGCTAGTGGGCTAGTAGTTAACTGCTAGAGCAATATACTCTGCTTTTCAAAGTATAACTCACTGCTATAACCAAAATGCCGAACAATTATAGCAAAACACAGCCACAACAATTTGACTAACGGACTCACTCCTGAACCTCTTGCGTTGTCAGGGCTTTTTCTTGTATTAGTGAGTTAATTTTCCCCCCTTCCCTTCAAATAAACATTTACTGAATGCCTAATTGGTGGCAGGCCTTATGCTAGAGAAACAAAGATTAATAGATGCCAGACCAGGAATGTAAGGACTGACTTCTTCCTGTCCCCTGCCCCTTTCTCTCTGAGTCTCCTAAGCAATCACTTCACAGAACCAAAACATATTTTATTATTAGTTCCCAAAACTGGTTAAGTGATCTGAATTTAACTCTCAAAAAAAAAAAAAAATACTCAGGTTCCTTTTTCTTAACAGCAGAGCTCTCATTTTTCTTTTTCTTCTGTGGATCAGAGGTTTGCTATTAGAGAATGGTTTCCTATATTCATTGTACTTAGGTATTTGCCCATCTCTCTACTCAGTCATCTTTTTCAATTTACATGTTAATGTCTCACTGTTTCTACTTCACTGCTTTCCATTCTGTGAAGGTCTTCATTGTTGACTAACCCTGAGAGGGAATTTCCTAAAAAATGTTTCCTGCTGACATCACTGAACTCTGCAATCTTTGAATTTTGTTAAAACAATAATAAGATCCAGGTTAGAGATACCCTACTGGACTGTCAGGTCTTCCTGGCTGGTCTCTCATTTGCCTACAAAGACAAGCTTCCTGTGAGGCAACTGCGATCAGCAGAAACTGAACTGAGGGTAACAAGCACTTTCTTGACCAACAGGTTTTTCCCCTTTTCTCAACTAATTCAATGAACAACAATACAACTCAGGAGGAAATCTTGTAGGATAGTCACCACTTATTCTGTTAAAGGTCAAAATCACCAGCTTTGCTAAAACAAGAATAAGAATTTGAAAATCCTAATTTCCTTGTCGAAACTAAATTGATCAAACATAAATCACAAAGCTCAATGTTAATATGAACAATTACCAGTCTCTTTCTACCAGGATACCTAAAACAGGGTTAAGTGGGTTCTCTCCACAGGTAGAGTACAAGTCTAATTATGGCTAATTGGTAGTTCTTAGTAATTGTAACAGTACTTCCCAGATTTCCAAGACAGTACTTATTCTGTATGATTTCATCATCTCCTCCAAAGATGCCTCGTTAAATGTATGGCTAAAAGCAACTGAATTTTAGGCCTCTGTAAAGCTTCACAATTAAATACACACACAAATCAGGGGGGAAAATTTAAAACCTTCCTCACATCATCTGTCTTGATTGTGCTTTACAAAATATGGTCCCTGTACTTGTGGGGAGAGTTAGCTTGGCAGGTAGTTGCTGAGAGACAAGTCTTTGCAAGGTCCTTTCACATGCATCTCTCATAATCCTCCCAGCAGCAATACCTACATTTTCTTATTTTTATACATAATGAAATCATACCAGAGTTTAAACGTTAACGTTCTTAAGGTCACACAGCCAGCAAGTGACAGCTAAGATACAAACTCAGGTGTTTCACTCTAGAGTCCATGCCCTTTATGCTAAATCACGCTTCTCTAAGGTCACAGCATCCTTAGAACTTATCGACTGTTTGGCAAGTTCACGTCAACAGATATAAAAGGAGTTTGGTTTCCTCAGTCCTTCTATCAACCACTCTCTAGGATGTATATAAATCAATCTGTATGTGTATAAAAGTCTGTAAATAATGGTTAAAATGTCTATGAATGTCTGTGTACCACATCCCACCTTCCTTTTCCCCTTAGCAGTCTTTCTCGTCTATCTATCTCCACCTTTGTCTTAAGATTATCAAAAGGAAATTTTTTTTTTTTTTTTTTTTTTGCGGTACGCGGGCCTCTCACTGTTGCGGCCTCTCCCGTCGCAGAGCACAGGCTCTGGACGCGCACGCTCAGCGGCCACGGCTCACGGTCCCAGCCGCTCTGCGGCATGTGGGATCCTCCCGGACCGGGGCACGAACCCGTGTCCCCTGCATCGGCAGGCGGCCTCTCAACCACTGCGCCACCAGGGAAGCACCAAAAGGAAATCTTAAAAAGTTTTCACAGCATGGAAAAAAAACTAACGTTAATTTAAATCAATACCTACTGCACACCCAAGTGTGAAGTGTAGTGAAGGATTCAAAGGACAATCAGATACAGCCTCTGGAAGAGAAGCTTAGACATGATCAAACTTTTATGATACACAGGAAGGTCTGATAAGTCCCATAAGAGTTAGGAACAAATTATCGTAAGAACTAGTGATATAGGTGAGAATTTCCAGAAAAGAAGATGGCTAAGATACAGGCAGACAGCAATAATACATGCAATCAACAATAATACACGCAATCAACAGGAAAGTTCAACTCAACATTTACTGAACACCTACTACAAGAGGCACTGTGAGGAGTTTATCATTTAATAGGGGACACAAACAGGAAACTATAATACAAACCCAGAAGATGTTCACTGCCACAAGATAAAGTGTCAGAACTCATTCATTGAACGACGATTATCATATAGGCAGTGCTATAGATAAAAAACCAAAATGGTATCTGCCACCATAATATAAACTGACATCGAAAAGAGAAGGCATCTAAGCTGTGTTCTGAGGGGACAGTACTTCATCAGCATAGGTGGAAGAGAGGATTGTTGAGATCTGACCTAAAGCAACTTGGCCAGAGCACCAACTATTAGGTCCTTCCCATAAACATCAGTAGCCTTAAATACATGGGTTTAGGTCAGTTCGTATCAGTGCTGACAAAGGAAACAGTGAGCAGAATCTGAAGAACCACAGATCCCCACGCTTTGGCTGGAATATAGAATAAGTGAGGAATGTGAGAAGAAAAAGCTGAAGAGAGGCTGGAATTTGAATTACTAGGACTTGAAATGCTTTCTTTCCCTTAAACTGTAAATATCACCAGATGGAAGCCAAGATCCCAGGTACCTCACAGCACAGAAAAGTTTGTTTCTAGAATTCATAGAACCAAACAGTACTACTCAGAGAAATACATGTGCTGTCCTGTAAAGCTATGTAATGGGTTAGCGATTCTTCTGTGCTATACAGAACTCGCAGTTTTCAGGGGACAGCAGTCAGGGGCCAAAGAGTGGCAAGACTTGTGAGCAGGATCATGTTTATCCTTGTCAAATCTGAAAGGACATCTAACCTACTCCAAAATCAGGAGTAAAAATTGATAATATTTGAGCCACAGCCTCTTGAGGCAGGTCAGTGAGGTCTATGCATATGCATGTGATTTGTTTCATTTGGACCCTACTTAAACTTCTACTTTATCTGCATTTGGTAAATCAACACATGGCTAGTGGCAGATGAGGGTAAGTGACGGTGACAAAGTAAGACCCAATTTCTTAAAGGAGTCACTAAACAATCCCACTTATTCCACTTAGAAAGCCAATGACAAGGCGGGGTGGGGGGACACAAAAAGATAAAAAGATAAATATTTCCAATAACGTCACTTAGTTTCTTTCATCTCCTTGGACTTGTGGCCTGTCTGTACTTCAATAGCTCTAAAAATAGATTTGATATTACAGCTTCTTAATAAGATCCAATATATTTTACCTATATCACTACATTCGACAAGTAATATAGCCATTTAGAGATAACACAGAGGGGAATGACTCACTTAAGGTCACTTAGCAAAGAAGGGAACCATTCAGAGGCTAACAACAGAGTATAAACTACCCATTACTTGTGTAAAGGGGGGAAGGGGTACGCTCACACCCACAGAGGAAGCAGGATTATCTTTCCCAAACTTTTAACATTAACTTCTGCTATCTTCTAATAGGAAAGACTAACCATCTTTTTCCAATTAGCAGCTATGTGAGTGCTTTCTAGTAATAAGTGCCTGAACATAAAACTCATACTACTTCTAACTCAAGTGTTAAATATCATGTGACACACAATGCACAGGTTTCATTCTTTCCGGTGAAGTCCACCACACTAGACAGAGTCTGGTGAACTTTTGTGTATTTCCAAATGGATTACTACTTTTCTACCTCATTAATAATAAAGCTAATTTTACCGAAGTCAGAAGTTTGAACAACAGTCCCACAAACTAGGTACAGTACTGGGCCCACATCAAGCCGCCAAAGTCATTTGGTGGTTAAATTATTCACTATCAGCAATCGTAAATTCAGTTGGCTCGATCAAGAGTTTATAGTCTATATTAAAGACTGAATCCTACGAGGTAGGTCAGCTGCAGAAGCACTTTTTGTGGACCTGGCCACAGGCAGGGGTAGGAGTCACAATGGGGGTTATATTTTGAAGATTTAATTATTCTGCTATCACCAGTTTTACTTCCTAGTAAACTAAAAAACTGCAAGAAAAAAAGAAAGAATCAAAATCAAAGAAAGTAGAGGAATGAAGATTAAGAAATTGGTGAAACCCAAGAACTGTTTCCTTTCTTTGAAACAGCAAGCTCTGGAATATCAAATGAAAGTTATCCTGTTAACCATTAAGTACCGAACTGGTACAGGCAGCACAATCACAAATATTTGAGTACTGAAGCTGACTCATAAAATTCTAAAAATATTTCATGCTTTAGGCTTTCAAAATACCATCAGTTTAACCCCTCCCCCTCCTTTCATCATGTTATTTTGAAATGTAAATGTTTTTAACCTAGTTCTGGAAACTCTAATTAAAATGCAGTGAATACAGAAAGCCACATGCAATTAGATTTCAAGGCATTATCATTCCTACATCTGATCCTGGATTTAGTAAATCAGTTGTTAAGTACCTGTGCTATCAACTACACTAAAATAAATACATATATGTTTAGGAAAAGAGTTGCCTAAGAGTCTTAACTGCTTAACTGATAGCCCTTTGAGGGAATATAAAAATCCGTTTATAAAAAGCCATTGTAAAAAAAAAAAAAAGCCATTGTAAAAAAAAAGCCATTGTAAAATTGATCTAGAGAACTACTTTGTTAAATTTTCTAAGAATCCTAGTTTATAACGTCCTTGAAAAGGCTGAAATATCTTTTCAGGTCATAGACAAGTACAATCATGTAAAATCAAAACTTATGAGCACTGGATGCTAGTATATTTAGGCCAGAAATTTTTTTCTACATCCGTTCAAAGACATTAAATGGATTACACTGTACTTACTCTAATTCTTTTGCAAACAAATACTATTTATTTATTTAGGCCACACGGTGCAGTTTGTGGGATCTTAGTTCCCTGACCAGGGATCAAACCAGGGCCCTCGGCAGTGAAAGCACTGAGTCGTAACCACTGGACCACCAGGGAAGTCCCTAGTTATTTTTTAAATGAATGTAAATGGAAGGAGCACTGAACAGCCAATTTCAAAGAGGTACCAAGTTACAATTTTTTGCTATGCAGTACTCCTCCTGTTGTAAGTACATGTATTATACACACATAAGAATATGTACTATGTAACTCCAATTAAGATATTTTACCAAAATAACCCCATACAAAATTTGAAGAATATCAAAGGCTTGACCTCAAAAGTTTGATAAATTGTACTGAAAGGAAAAATTACTTAATAAATGAACATCAAAAACTCATAAGTAGCAGTATCCCTTAGAAAGCAGCCATACGTGCACATACCCACACACACACACACACACATCAGAAACTACCAGAGCTTTTTTTCCCTCTAGTTTTCAAGACTGCTGGAAAAGTCTAGTGAATTATGCAAAGGACAGCAAATATTAAGCTGCCTCTGTATTTATGCTACTGTACTTCCATTTTTAAAACATGCATCTCAACTCCCCAGATACCATCATCCACAGAAACCATGCAGCTATCCAACAGACTTTCAGTGTCACCATTTATTATTTATAGCATTAAATGGGGGAAGTGGCTCTGATGTCACCGACCCTACCCAGTGGAATCACTGACTCAATAAACATTTTCACACTGGAGAAAATCTGGCTAGGAAAACATTTTGCTGTGTTAAGTAGAGTCTTTCACCTTTCCTCTCAACCCTGGGGTAAAAGTTGTTCCTGTGTTAGGAGAGATACAAAGAAACTGTCAAGGTTTCCACAGGAGGAAAACCTGAGCATGTCCGTTTGCTGAGGCAAAGACTTCCCCCTCCCAACCCTCCGGAGCCCAGTTTGATTTCCCTAACGCTCAAATTGCCATATTTTACTTCTTCCACCAAATCATCCACCAAGTAGGAAATTCTTCATTTCTACTAGCCACTCTCTCGTGGTCCTGTTTCTAAAAACCCGTTCTGACTCAAAGTCCTAAGGCGGAAGGGGGCTGGGGTGTTCGCGGGGCCAGGAAGTTTGGCCTAGCTACCAAAGGTTTCTAACAGAAGAGTGATCGCCGCCCCAGGGCCCTAGGACACCCCCCCTCCCCCTTTTTCTAGAAGAAAGAACTGGCGGCAGTGACGAGGACAACCCCTCCCCCCTCCTCCCCAATTTCCCAAAGCAGCTTTGGAAAACGTGAAGTTACAGTTTCTCTTTCCTGGGAGATGGAATCCAGAGTACCTGGGGCCTTGCTATGCAAACATCCCTCTCGGCCGAGTAAGAAACCCTTTGTCCGAGAAGCCGGACACCACAGGGGGCCGGGAAAGAGGCCCCTTATCGGCCACTTCTTCAAATCCGAGAGCTCTCCACCTCCACCCCTGTAGGGCCTGTGCCGGCATCCTCATAGCCCTAGGTTGAAGACAGGGTGCTGAGACCCCTTCTAGGACGCGGAGGCCGAGGCCCTAACCGATCTTCTCGGTACCCTCTCCCATCAGCATCTCACTCGGCCTGAGTGGGGCTTGGAAGAGCGATGCGGGCCTGGACCGGAGAAACAGAGAAAAAAAGAACGAAAGAAAAAAATCCCTTCTAAAGGGGGAATAAGATGCTAGAGCTAGTGCGAGCTAAGGCCACAGCATAAGCGAGCGAGGGTCGTTCGAGACAAGGGCCAAGAGACAGGAGGAAGGGAGGGAGGAAAAACGGGGGGGAGGGAGGAAAAACGAGGGGCATGGAGGGGGCCGGGCCAGGTCCGGCCTGAAATCTCGAGGGATCCGGAGGAACCGCGCCGGGCCGGAGGCCAGGGAAGGCGGGGGGCCCAGGTCCCGGCCGAGGCAGCGAAGAAGGGTCAGGGCCGACCTCGCGCGGGAGGTGGGCAGGCCCGCCCGGAGCCGGACGGACGGAAGAACGGACGGTCCAACGGCCCGCACTCACCATGAGCTCGATGGTCTTGTCCTCAATCACCGAGTCGGGCTCCATGGCGGCCCCGGCGGCCCCGCCTCGCTCTCCCCGCGCAGCAGCGAACAGCCCGGGCGGAGGAGGCGACGGCGGAGGCGGCAGAGGCGGAGGCGGCTATCGCACCCACTCTAGCTGCCAGCCCGCCCGGGCCGCCGGCAGCTCCGCCCTCCCCCTCGGCGAACGCAGTACGCAGAGCTAGGACTACAGCTCCCAGCAGGCGCCGCAGGCCCTGTAGAGCGTTGTGGGAACGAGAAGCCGACACCAGGCCAATCTCTCCTGACAGCTCGAAGCTGAATTCTGAGCCGAAAGTAGCACTGGACTGTGAATGCGAGACGTGCAGACCTAAAGAATTAAGGGGTGCCTCAAGGTGGGGCCTCGGGAGCGATACGACTACATGTCCCAGAAAGCCCTGCGCTCGGGTTCTCTTTCCGGCTAGTTTCTCCTGACTTCCTGGCAGCCCAAGGCTACCCAGACCCGGACGGAAACTCGGAGGCAACTCTTCGCTTGACAGATATCCTGCGTGCGCGACTGATTTCCGCACATGCGCGGTCGGTGTCTGCAGGGCACAGGACGCCTAGGTAGCGGAGCGGCTGGTGCGCTGTCGTCTGTGGTAGAGTGAGGTGTTGGCGACAGGTGGGTTCTAGATACTTTTGGAGGGGATGGTTTTGGGGCTCAGGTGTGGGAGGGGGCCAGCGAAAGAGAGAAGTTCGGGCAAAGCTCTGAGAGTATGGGCGTCCCGGGAGGGAGGGGTTTGGAAATTTAGTTGGGGAAGAGGAGGTTTATGGTCTGTATGCACCAGGTACTGGGAGGAGCTGAGAGGTGAAAGGGAGCCTGTGTATATTGAGCCCCTCTTATTCATTTGTTCAGAAAATGTTTTTTAAACTTCCAGCCTCTGCCGGGTACCAGTCTAGGCACTGGGAATCAGCTCTGAGCCTTACAGACAAGGGCTCTCTTCTTATGGAGCTTAATTCTAGTGGGGGGGGGGGGGAAGACAGGCATTAACCACAAGAGTGATAGGTGCTAAGAAGGAACACAGCTGGAGATCTGGAGACTTCTTCTGGTGAATTCTGCCTCCAGCGCTATGTGAACTTTGTCAGGTCTGTCAGTACCCTCTAACCAAAGACGACCAGGGGGCGCGCGGATAGTTGAACAAGTTGGGTTTCTGACTGGTTGCAGGAAGGGAGATCACACACCACGAAGAACTGTGGGGCATCTCAGTAGGAGTTGTCAGGTCATTTGGAAGCGAGGCTTTACTCTGGATAAGATGCTGTCAGGAAGTGGGGGTGATTCTATGATTGGGTATCTCGATAAATCTTACCTAGAAGGAAGGAATGCTAGACTGAGGCTGAAGGTCTAATTGGTAGAGAAGCAGGAGTCCGTCATTAGCCAGGATGGGGGATGTTTGGTCCTTTTTTATGGTTTGGACAATGTCATGTTTTATCTGTGTTCAAATGTAATTAAGGAGCGGTCTTGCTTTTATATTGATCTATCATGGTCACAGAATGGCTTCATCTAACGTTTATGTTCCGTGAAATTTATGTTCAACAGGGGAACACGAGGCCTAGCTAAGAGGGCCAGGCTATCATCTAGTAACATTACTGCCTGTCTGATTGTATCACGCCAGCTTCCGAATGTCTGCTTTTCTTTCTCAAGTGTTTTGCATTCTCTGCACCTGTAGAGTGAAGGGACAAGACCTAGAAATCTTTCCATTTCCAAGGACCAAGTTATTACAGTAATTTGTATGCATGCAGGACATAGTGTAAGTTCCGTGTACGTAGAGTTTTAAGTTTTATAGTCCTTATCTGATGCTTTCCACAAGAGGAATTGAAAGAAAAGCAATGGGAAGAAAGAGCACAGAACTGGAAAGTTATTGCCACTAATTTGCTGTCTGAATTTCACCATATCCTTTTGCTTGTCTGGGCCTTGAGACATTCATTAGTAAAATAAAGGGGCTGAAATAAATGACCTCTGTTTCAGTTACCTATTGCATCGTAATAAACCACCTCCAAGGCTTAGTAGCTTAAAATACCAGTGCTTTATTATTCTTTACAATTGTGTGGGTTAACTGGACTCAGCTGGGCCCACATAGTATAAGCTGAAGTTACTTATGGGATTACGATCAGCTGGGAGCTCATCAAAACGGGTTATCCTCGAGGGCCTCTCTCTTTACCTCGTTTCTTACCATTCAGGCTTCTGCATGGTGACTAGCTTCCAAGAGGACAAGCCCCAGTGAACAAAGGCTTATCAAGCCTTTGGTTGCACCCAACTTGCTAATGTCCCACTGGCTAAAACAAGCCACATGGCAAAGCCCAGAGTCAGTGTGGGAAGGGACTACACAAGGTTGTGAATACAGAGTCGTGGTTCGTTGGGGGCCATTAACGTAACAGCCTATCAAGACCTCTAAAGTGTCAGCACTTGCCACGGACCTAGCACATAGGGCTAGGGTAGGAGTCACAAGCTGAGTATGAACCCCCAGTATGTCTGTTTATCCTGCACTGTCTTTTTTATTGTTTCAAAATTCAACAGTCTCACAATTGAAAATCCAAATTTCTAATTTCTCTTGAAAAGTTAGACTATCTTGCTGTACTGGATCTGCATGGCAACAGTATGCAGGGGTTAAGTAGCAATTACCTTCTTTATATGAGGCATTTACTCTATAGATTGCCACTGTTACCACTGCTCCCTGTTGCCTTATATCTGCAAGCTTTACTCATTTAAGTTGTATGCTTAACCCATATAGATATTTGAGTTTGCAACCCTTGGCATTGGAACTGTAATGGAGATAACTCAAGGTTTCTTGCCTTTTATTAAAACCATATCCCACCTTAAGAGGTAAAAAAAAATACTGATTTTATTGGGTCAAATTCCAGGAGCTCAGTAAGATGAAAAAGTTATGTATATGATAGAAGTCATTCCCAAGCTGTTTAAGAGGCAAACCGAGCCTAGGCTTATCACTTTGCTCTCTCCTCTTCTCAAACAAGAACTCAGACCCTCGGGTATTTTTATTGCTTTAGGCTTGATGCTGACTGGCGATTAGATTTGGTCATAGATAAAGGCAGAAGACCTTGAGGCATATTTTCCCCCCAGTTTTTCAGATAGATCTGCACTGGGGTTTATATGACATGCTAACAGCAAACTGGTACAGGTCCACAATCCCTTAACCAAAACCCCGAGGTCCGGATATGCTTCAGAATTCAGAATTGTTCAGATTGTACAAAGGTAGTATGATGTACATACTGTGTATATAATGTAACACTCCCACTGGGGTCTAAGGCAGCATTTCATAATGAAATACATTTATTTTTCTGCAGCAGAGCATATGGGTGCCTGTTATCAATTTATAGCCTCTCAGTTCCAAATCCAGCCTTCTTTTCCATGCTTTGAAATACTGGAGTGGGACCCTGTAAATATTTCTCCCCTGCCAGCTGGCACAGTGCTTAACTTTGTCAATAGAGAGCCCTAGAGGAGAACAGCCAAAGGGTCTTCTCTTCCTTGTTCCAGAGTACTTTCTTTTCCTTCTTGCCTTTGTGGCACACAGTAGCAGATGGTTTGCAGAACCGTATCCCTCTCTCTACATACACACACTCACACACACACACACACACACACACACACACACACACACAC